CCACACCGAGTCCGGGACTCGGTGTGGGGGACATAGAGTTTATTTGAGTGGTGGGTTGATCCTTACCCAAATATGTGTTTACAATGGACATTGTTATAATCCAAAGACGACTTGTTATGATGTATATAAATGATCATAAAATAGTTATTGTTTAACTTGTCAGTTCAATACATAGAATTTATTTGAACTAATGATGAACGCTAATAAAATTGATATAAGGATGCACGTGTTAGTATATTTTGTCGATAGCCTTGCATATAAAGTCTTTTCTTTCCTTTTATACAATTGAGTACTCGTGGTTTGTTCTACCTGTTGTGGATCATGTGGGTGACATAAGAAATGGTTTAAGAATGTTGTAGAGTTTTTTTACTTCCATCAAATATTTTACAATGTGATAACCTGTTATGATGTATATAAAATCATAGATTTTAACTTGTCATTCTCCCTCGATAGTTATATTTTCTTTGTTATAAACAATAAATATTATACTCTGATGTTGCATGGAAGGTGATGTAAGAAATGACTTAAGAATGTTGTAAGCTTTATTATCTCATTTGTGATCCTGATGGAAAAATATAGATTTTCGGATTCTCCCTTAGCGTGTGCTCGACAGAACTACCTAATGTAGCTCACATTCGGGGTGCTTAGTGTCCAGTGAAAGACAAGCGTCTCCGTAAGTGAGTTATTTCGGATGGTTTTACCACAATAGTGGTAGAGGTGGATAACCTAGATGCAAGTTTAGAGTTATTTAAAGTTATCTTTCTTAATGGCAAATGTGATAGTTTTATATACAAATTTAAGGGGTTATTTATGCATTTTTTTATAATGCCATATGTGAGTAATTTTTTAAGAAAACATAATAGATCAAATGGCCGCTACTTTTTTTTCTGTTATTGGCAATGATGATTAGAGTCTACCAAATTAAAACCTAGTTGTTTCTGATTATTGTGAGAAATTTTAGAATGTATCTTTTTTCCTAATGCGTCTCATGAGAATCAACATGCAGCCTGTTCCGGAGGCCGTATCGTATCGTGGATTATTTACTGCTGGCTGGTTTGGTGTGAGAGAAAAACACTGTTTCCGCCTGAAAATTTACGATTGTTTACGAGCAAGCGAACAGGCTGATGGAGCTCCCATCAGAGACCTCAAATTAATAATATTAAAAAATGAATTCTAATTTTTTGTAATTATAGATAGATATGATGTAATTAAAAATTGGGGTATGTAACACCTATGAAATAGAAAAATCTTTTAGAAGACTTTTATTCCGGTGTAAAACACCTAAAAATGCTTAGTTATTTCCGTGTTATACTATGGTAGCCTTATCTTTCACATCGGAAAAAAAACAAAAATGACAAACATCTAATTACCTCCCATGGTTTCATGTTTGGCTAGCAATCTGGCATGGGTGTCGAGGTCACCATTGAGGTTGCCCTTTACGAGGGTGGATGATTTGAGGAGGATGAATTGGCGGTGGGTGGCCATGGAGGATTGTTGCAAGGACAACTTGCATTGGGCTTCAACGACATTGACCAGCTCCACAAGAATGATGTCGATAGTTTTACTGTTTTGTCCAGCTTATTGTACTATTTTGGCTTTTTCTTGACCTATGTAAACACGCTCAAAGCTTGGAGAATATCTCATTACAACTAAGAACTATATGAGATAATATTATCTCAGACATCTTATTACATATGAGAGATAATCAATGTGTTTCTAAGAGCATCTTCAAGAGTACCCAATATTTTCTTCCTAAAATATGAAGTTTTACAACTCCTAAAAAAGTATTGGAAGAAATAAAAAAAGCCACCTCCAAGAGTTTCTAATAATCCACTCCTAAAACATAGAAGATAATTTTACATCAGGAATCCTATATATACTATTTCTAAATTATCCTAACCACTTTTATATATTCTTTCTCTCTTGTACATTTGCATCAGGAATCATTTCCTACTATTTATTCTTTCCACGTCCTTCCACCTTTAGATTTGCCGACAAACACACGCGGGAGAGAGAGATACGCGCGACTCGGAAGCGCTTAACTTTACACGGAACATGGTGACTTTTTCTAAGTTCTAAAAGATTAGAATGATGGATAGGAGTTGTTGGAGAGGGTTATTTTTTTCTCATCTTGCTAAAAACCAAGGATTAAAAAGGGATTTAGGGAACTCTTGGAGATGCTCTAACGTTATAACTCTGATGACTCAAAAAAGTATTAGTGCAGCTGTGAACTAATTAAAGTCATTATTGGTGTGATTCATTTCATAGTTTCCAAGAGTGGCAGGATTGGATAGATTAATGAACAAGGTCTCTAATATAGTAGTTTCATTTCAGCTGGGTTTCATACTATAGTCATAGCATTTAATTGTTGCATTGCGTTGCGAAACATTAAGGTTACAGTTAGACTCATTTCCGTTTCCAAGGCTTATGATGAAATGGTCTGATCATGTTAGTGGGATTTCGTTCTGTTTCCAAGATATAGCCGAGTGTGAATACGAGGTTTCATCTAGAGATGAAACTCATTCATTCTCTTTTCCATTTTTTTACGTATTAGTTTAGCCCATATACATGGCATCTCATTTAAAGACTGAAACTCTTATGAAACCTGTACTGAGATGAGCTAAAGATCCGGCGCGGAAGCTCAAATTTGTTCCGTATCGATCGGCTCTAGCTCGACGTGCATGACTTTTCCTTTTTGAAAAGTTATATTGCGTGCATGACTTCCGTTTGAAGCTTAATTATTTTCCATCGGCCATGGACCATGGTACGTAGCAGGTATTCACACTGCATATCTGATATCTGACTGAATTAATAATAGAACAGGAGCGTTTCATCTGGCTACAGCGACCCCCCCTGTGATCACGATCACCGGCCATCATGCGTGCTTGCTCTGTCGTCGAGAGGGACATGAGCGAGGGCCATAAGATAAGATCCACGGCGCGTGGACGGCGGAGATTAAACGACGGCCGGGGGGACCATTAATGGCGCATAGTAGCAGCGCGGGCATGTTCGTTTGAACTTATTAGCTTTATTAGTTAGAATTTACAGTATTTTTTTTTTACAATAAATTAGTTTCTGCCGGCTTATCAGTCGGCTTTAATACCAGCCGACAGGAACATTATTGATGTGTTTTTTCTACAACTAGCTGAGTAGCACTATTCTTTTCCGTCTAGCAGCAGCCATTGCTAATTTGCTATTATTTATTCTACGGCTAGCTTGTGATAATGTACTGCCACTAGCTAGCTATATACTTTGCACAATTGGATCCATCACCAGCCAAATATTGTACTAGATCGATGTGTTTTTCATCCCGTCTTTTGCATCGATCAGCTAAATGGAATCCTGGAAAGGCAAACTACTATAGTTAGTAGTATCAATCATACGATCGCCTTAGATATATGCGCACCACCCAACGCAAGTTAACAGCTGGGAGCCAAGTAAACAAACAATTGATATGATGAGCCACGATTAAGCCACGCAGCCTGTTCGTTTGGCCGTGGCTTTTCGTAAATGATCGTAAATTTCCAGCTGGAATAGTATTTTTCTCTCATACAAACCAGCCAGCAGTACTTCTTCCCAAACCAGCAACGATACGAACCAGCCAACCGAACAGACTGAGGATCGATCTCTTAATTCGCCAACGAAGGGACAATAATGATTATCCTGGTGGTAGCTGTAGTAGCAGTAGGTACATGTGTTAAGCGACCTATCAGTAACTACTTCATCCGTTCTAAATTATAAGTTGTTTTGATTTTTTTTGTTACGTCGAATTTGATGTGTCACATAATGTATGTCTAGATACATAGCAAATTCGATGTACAAACAAAAGTCAAATTGACTTATAATTTTGAACAAAGGAGTTGCTTACGACATACGGTCCAATCCGAGACCCTCGGCTTTCTTTGGCGAATAACAGTGTAGATACATATTCATTCTATAGGTTGATTATTTAGAGAAAAAAAGACTGTGTGCAGTCATGTTTAATTATTACTCGATACATATTCATTCTATAGGTTAATTATTTATTTACATATACATTTTGCGATGGTACGTTGTCAAAATAAAGTATATAGACTAAAAAACCACGACAGTTTTGGATAAGATAAAAAGATGAATTCAGACTATATACATAATCAAGAAGCAGCTGGCAATATAATTTTTTTATTCCAACTGGCAATATAATTGGCATGGCCGGCAACCATCAGCGAGCATGAGAGAGAATTCGTGGATTTGGATGGCGGCAGCCTCTGCCCTCTGGTGAGCCCAAAGTCCTTCAAGTTTCCTCTCTCTCCGATCCCTTTCAACATCAACGTCCAAATCACAACTTTAATTAACATCATCACTACACTCTCCCTCTCATCAAAAATCAAAAATTAAAATAGAAAATCTAACATCACCACTACAGATCGAAAGTACTCCTATATATGGACCGACATCTGGACCAATAGCAACATCGCCTTCCTATTGGCTGAGCCATGGGCCCCGCCAGAAAGAGAGAGAGAGAGAGAGAGAGAGAGAGGACTTGCACCAGCGCGGGGGTAACACGTACACCAGAGCGATTACAGGTCGACAGAGCGAAGTTAGTTTGCCGCAAAAGTAATGCGCGCCGAAGTGCAGGCAGCTTAGTTTAATCCCTTGAACCCTACAATCTTGGAGGACACGAAGAGCTCCACTACGCTAGCTACTCGTATGTCCAAGTCCAACCAAACAAATGCAAGGACTAATCATGCACTAGAACTAATGATGAACATGATCATCCAACGATCAGTTCAGTTCTACAGTTACATACAATAGATGCAGATGCAGTAGCAGCATGCAATAGCCTGTGCAGCTCTAACTACTTACATCAGATGTCATTGCGATGTGCAGAGCAAGCAGAACAATGGTACTGGTAGACTGGTAGTGGTAGAAAGCAGTAAGCAGCAGCAGCAGCAGGCGGGCCGCGGGTACGGTAGAAGGTGCACGTGCATGATTTACATTTACCAGCAGCAGCAGGCAGGTCAAAAGAAACCCTGGCCGAGCAGGCAGAACGGGAAGGGGGTGGTCTCTACCGCGGTCTCGTCAGCAGCAGTCAGGCCCATGCCGATGATGCCGCCGCCGCCAACGCCGCCGTTGCCGCCTCCGAGACCGCGATTCGGCACATGCTGCACCCCGGCCCCGCAGTAGGTGGCGGCGGGGGGATCGAAGTCGAAGGTGGGGAGCACAACAGGCGACGGCTTCTGCTCCGCCGCCCATTCCCATTGCCAGCCGTTCAGGCCCTTGGCGGCGGCGCCTTCGAGCGCCGCCAGCAGCGGTTGGTGGTGGAGTACTGGCACTGGCACTGGCACTGGCGGCGCCGGCGGGAGCGGGCGGACGGGCTGGGAGGCGAGCTGCATGCGGCGGCGCTTCTTCTCGGCGGCCTGCTCGACGAGGCTGCGCGTGACGCCGTCGGGGTCCTCGGCGAGCCTTGCGAGGAACGACATGAGCTGGTCGGGCTGCCGCTCCGTGGCCTGCAGGCGCCGGCTCATCTGCGCCAGCTCCTCCCCGATGACCGTCTGCTCCTGCCGCAGCCGCTGCACCTCCTCCAGCAGCGCCGGCGCCTCCTTGTTCTCGTCCGGATCCCCCTCCTCCGGATGATGATGATCCTCGCCGCCCATACTGATACAGCAGCCGGTCGCCGCCGCGTACTGCGCCTGCGCATCGCCGCCGGAGGAGGTGGAGCAGGCGCCCTGCTCGCCGCGCTTCTTGCGGCGCACGATGCGCGGCAGCAGGTGCGTCTGGCCGCGCAGGAACGAGTCGTGCGCGAACTCCCACCGGTCCGGGTGCACCTTCCGAAACCCCTGAGCGCGGGCATGCAGAGGAGAGCATCCATGGCGCCAGGGTAAGTGTACAGCAGGACATGTGACTATGTGAGGGAGGAAGACAACGAACGACTCACGCACTTACGTATGAGTTGAGCTGGCGCACGAAGCTGGAGAAGTTGCTGTGCTTGAAGAAGCAGGGGAGGAGCAGCCGCGAGAAGCCGGCGGGGTCGACGACGACGAAGCTGTTGTTGTCCCTGCCCCATCGCACGAGCGCGTCCGTCCGCGGGTCGCACACCATCTGGTAGGTCTTGGCCACGAACGCCGCCGTCTTGAAGAGCTGGTCGCCTCCGCCGCGGCCGCCGCACCCGGCGAGCAGCCCCAGCGCGAGCTCCGTGTGGAGGCCGTCCATCATCGATCAGCTGGTAGTAGGGTTGAAGGGAAACACGGTCGATCGGGCCTCGCCTGCAGCGCCGCCGCCGACCCCGTTCCGTCGTCCGCTCGGCAAGCACGCAGCAGGCAAGCGCCCGTGCGAGCCGGGTGAGCCTCCGAGCTGGATGGATGGGCGTGTCAAATTCTCTCAAAAGGCAGGCGGGGGCGGGTTTGCTGGCGGAGGGGCCGGGGGTTACTAATTATGGCCACCGTCGTCGTGCGTGACAGGAGCGGGACATGACTAAACTACTACTAGTAGAGAAGCAAGGGCCCCAAGGGCCATTTACTGATCGGAGTAGCTAGTAGTGAGCCGCCCCGTCGTGTCGTCTCAGTCTCAGGCGTCTCCGATCCGGAACGTGTTGTGTTGATAGATATAGGCGGCGGGGGGCGCGGGCTGGCCGGGTCCGGCGGGCGACAAGTGGCGAGCTCGTGATCCTTCCTCACGTCCGGCCTCGTGTGGAGTCGCCACCGCGAGAGATTTTAGGTGCGGCAAGACTGTGCGCGCGCGCCTTTTGGACCAATGCGCGCGTGATCCCACATCACTGAAGGAAAATAAAAGACGATGCCGGTAATCTTTGTTTGGCATTAAAAATGCAGGTCATCCGATCCGACTGCCTAATCTAGCGGGTGCCTGCCGAGACCTCAGCAGGACAGGATCTACTCCATCTCTTGTGGGCTGATTAAAAAAACAGTGTGTGTGCCGCGCGCTTTCGCGAGTCGCGACGACGACGGCTAGTCTCGCTTGCTGCTGCTGGCTGGACACCTGTCCTGCTTGATTGCTACGTCTCGCACCGTGCACGACTGCACGTATTTGTTATTAGTCATGTGATTATTATCTTACCAAGTTACTACTAGTAATATAGTATCAGCTCATCCATCGACTATCGCCCGTTCATTTGGCTTATAAGCCATATTTTTTCAGTCAACGAATATTATTTTTCTCTCACAAGTCAACGGTACTTTTGGTCATGGCGTGGGGCATATGATCGTGAGCAGTACACACTACACATACACAGACGCGATGGCAGGGCAGACCAGAGAAGAGATCATCGGTTCATCGGAGGGCTTTGGCCGGCCTGCCTGCCTGGAACGCCACCAGCCATCACCGTACCCTAAAGGCTAAAGGCGCCGGGGTTGGCCGAGACAAGACGCGTGCTTACATATGCGCGAGGCTTGGAGCTAGCGCAGCCGCCGTGCGCGCAGTGCACTGTGTGCCACTGTGCAGCGTGCGCAGGCCGCGGGGTGGATTAGCTACCCGCCCGCTCCATGCGCGCGACCTGCCTGGAGGATGGACGGATCAAATCGTCTCGATCAGGCAAGGGCCCAGCACCAGATATGGCCTGAGTTTTTTTTTGCCCCTTCATCTGAGAAAATGGGTGCAGGGCCCGGGTCAGGTAGAGGGCCCTCTTGCTTTCGTGGGGACTACCCGGCTGATTAAAAAATTTGCACGCTAGGTTGTAGGTGCGCTCTCTTCGAAAATATCTTGTTCCCTTGACGGTGGGTGGGATAGGGAAGAGGATATGAAGTGGGATATAGAGAGCTGGTTAGACCGACGGTCTACCTATATAGCGACCCAAACTCAAAATGCATCGTGCATGTGAAAAAACCGACGTCCAACAGAGTAGGCATACCAAGCGCCTATTTTGCGTAGAAGGAGAGAGGGAACGCAAATGTGCGCCCTCCCTCCGTCTTCTCTCTCCTCAATCCAAATCTCTGGTGATACGATGCGAGGTCCAGATCTTCACGACGTAGGATCAATCACCGGATAACTAACTGAAGAACAGCCGGATGACTTGCTGCAGGCAGCGATAACTAGTGCAACCTGGCAGATAAAACTCGAAGCCAACCACCGTCTTTAACCGGCAACCTGAATCGAGGATTCGTCCAACCACACTCTCAAAGAACCAACCAACACAACCTACAATCAATCAAGGCAAACCTTGAAGGGAGTAGGAGCACCAATTGGGAGCGGATGAAGCCACCGCTTCTGTAAATCCCGCGAAGAAAATCACAAGAACAAAGGGGTAGAGATCACTTTCAATATTTGTTAGCACACAACTAAACAAAGGAGGTTCTGTATTTCGATTATCAAAAGTCTTCTTTTGCTTAGGAGTACATGGATATTTATACTAGAAACAGTCCTCCTAGATAGGTATAAACATGAAAAGAAAAAGAAAGGGTAGGCTATGTGAACAAGCTTCCACGAAATGAGTTTCTGAGTAGTTTCCGCGTGGCTGTTGGTCTTCTGCGCAGTCTTCAGTGTTTTGGCAATAACTCCATCTTGGAAAATCCAAATGATGTGCTGTTGGTTGCGTTGGAAAGCTAATTGATAAGGTTTCACACCATATATAGCATGCACCATTAAACATTGTAGAATGGTACAATTTAATATGAGAAGTTATACCAATATCCTGTCCTGAGAAGACTATTAACCCTCTGAGCAGTCTGCACTAAAGCTGGTCGGATCTGCACTAAAACTGGTCGGATCTGGTCGGCCTTGAAGCATTAGAAACTAGATTTCACAAGCTTTCCAAAAAGTCCTCATGGACCTCCATAGCCTTCGGGAATAAAAAGTTATGATATTTTCTTCTTGGCAGTTCTGTCAGTTTCAAGAGGTCTGACCAATATGTACTAAGCTGGTCGGATTTCATTAGTTAGAAATCCAAACTGGTCGGCATTAGCATCACTGGAAAGTAGACTCGACAAGCTTTCCAAAATGTGCTCATTCACCTTCATAGCTTCTGGAAATCAAAAGTTATGAATATTTCTTTCCTACTGTTCTGCAGGACTGGTCTGGTTCGAGTGTGGTTCTTCTCTGTGGTCATCACCTTATGTGTTCTTGCCATACTCGTTAGTGAACCTGAGCAACAACAACGTGCACAACTTAGGCAGTATATAATTCTCATTAATATTAAATTGAACTTCATAAAGTAGCGCGTTCACCTCTTGTTGTAGCTTCTTTGATCGACTACGTGTAATTGGGCCACCAAAGGCTTGGGCTGGTGTCAATGTAGGTGATACTTGAGTTGGTGTTACTTGAATTAGAGGTTGTAACATGTTGGTTGATGACGTGGTCATATCATCCTCCCCCTCTTGAAAAGAGTCATCCTCGACTCTAAAGTGTCTTCTCTTTTGAATGGAGATAAGTCAGCAACATTGAAGGTCGTACTCACACCATAGCTTGCTGGAAGATCTATCTTGTATGCATTATCATTGATCTTTGCAAGAACACGAAATGGTCCATCTCCTCAAGGCAACAATTTGGATTTGCGCTTATCAGGGAAGCGATCCTTGTGCAAATGTATCCACACCAAGTCCCCTGGTTCGAATAACACTTTCTTCCTATGTTTGTTCATACTTGTAGCCTTGCGTTTAGCACTTAGTTCAATTGCTTCCTTGGTCTTCTCATGTATCTTCTTTACATATGCAGCACGCTTAGAAGCTTCCATGTTGATTCTCTCCTGCAATGGAAGGGGCAACAAATCGATCGGAGCAATAGGTTTGAAACCATATACGATTTCAAAAGGACACAAGTTAGTGGTAGAGTGTACTGCCCTGTTATAAGCAAACTCCACATGTGGCAAGCAATCCTCCTAAATCTTCAAGTCCTTTTTCACCATGGTTCGCAGCAACATTGACAATGTACGATTCACCACCTCAGTTTGTCCGTCGGTTTGAGGGTGACAAGTTGTTGAGAACAAGAGCTTGGCATCTTTAGCCCATAATGTTTTCCAAAAATAGCTCACGAACTTGACATCATGATCAGACACAATGGTCCTGGGCATCCCATGTAGCCTCACAATTTCCCTGAAAAATAAATTAGCAACATGTGAAGCATCGTCGCTCTTGTTGCAGGGGATAAAATGAGCCATCTTTGAAAATCTATCAACCACAACGAATATAGAATCCTTTCCTCTCTGAGTTCTAGGTAACCCTAAAATAAAATCCATACTTATGCCTTCCCAAGGAATGTTAGGAGCAGGTAAGGGAGTGTATAAGCCATGAGGATTTAGTTTTGACTTAGCTTTGTGACAGGTGATGCATCGTTCCACAAATCTGATGACATCTCTCCTCATCTTAGGCCAATAAAAATGATCACCTAGCAGTTCATATGTTTTCTTCTGTCCAAAATGACTTGATAGTCCACCTCCATGTGATTCCTGCAACAACAACAATCTAACAGAAGAATTTGGAACACAAAGCTTGTTAGCTCTAAACAGAAATCCATCATGTATGTGATATTTTTCCCAACCTTTTCCATCTTTACAATGATTATACGGTTCTGAAAATTCAGGATCATTATTATACAAACCTTTTAAACTTTCGAGACCCAACACCTTGACCTCAAGTTGATTTAACAACACTCTCTTTCGAGACAAAGCATCAGCAACCACATTGTCCTTACCTTTCTTATATTTCACAATGTATGGAAATGTTTCTATGAACTCAACCCACTTGGCATGGCGACGGTTTAGCTTAGCTTGTCCCTTCAAGTACTTCAAAGCTTCATGATCGGAATGAATAACAAACTCCTTCGGCCATAAGTAGTGCTGCCATGTCTCAAGTACACGCACCAAAGCATACAATTCTTTGTCATACACAGAATAATTTAATTGGGCACCTCCCAATTTTTCACTAAAATATGCTACTGGTTTTCCTTGTTGCATTAAAACTCCTCCTATCCCAATTCCACTAGCATCACATTCTACTTCAAAAGTTTTAGTGAAATCAGGAACAACAAGTAATGGTGCTTCAGTCAAACATTTCTTTAATTCTTGAAAAGCAGTTTCTTGTGAGTTCCCCCATTTAAAATCAACCTCTGTCTTTGTCAATTCGTTCAAAGGAGCAGCGATGGTACTGAAATCTCTCACAAATCTCCTATAAAAACCAGCAAGGCCATGAAAACTTCTTACTTGACTTACATTCATAGGAGCTGGCCAATCCTTGATGGCTTTCACCTTTGATTCATCTACTTCTATGCCC